TTTATCTTGTTTTCAATTGCGTGTGGTGTTTCTTTATCACGTTAATTGATTCCAAGTGGTGACTTTAGGAACTTGTTTAGTTTTTGATCTTTCAAGAACACGTTTTTATCTAATTTCGTTCTTTTGATATCATAAGATCACAACTTTCATTGAACTGGTGCAGCATCAATATTTACTTGTTTTTGGAACGAGTAAATACTCTTTTCTTATAGTTCATGAGATCGTCATCTTTCACCTCATTTTTAATCATCCGATTCCGAGTCTTAAAACTTGAGATATGATATTTCTTGAAATCGATCCACAAACCATATTTTTGTTTCTTTGTTAACTCAAAGAATCACATCATGCTGTCAGAAACATGAAAATTCTCAACCATGGATTCTTCGATTAATTTCTCAATGGAAGAAGGAAAATTCAAGTTCATACATTGAATAAACCAAAGCCCAATACTTGTTGACGGAGAAAGAACGAATTGCTTCTAAAAGAAAATGCAATAGATCTATCAACAAGATAAAAATATTTTATTGGTGTCAAATTTTTTTATCGATTCCTCAAAAAGAAAAACAAATTGGGGTTTTTCACAATTTCACTATATAGCTTCACCACTAGAGCCTTTTGTTATCCCAAAGTAGATATGAGGAACAAAAATAGAGTTATGAAGAGAAGAAAATATTTTATGGGTGCCGGAAATTTTTGGATCGTCGGAGAAGAATGAAATTTTCGCCGGGATGTTGTTCGTGTTGTTAACTCCGGGCCTATTAATCCAGATTCGCGGCCGTGGAAAAGTGATTGAGATCGAAAACATGCAAACTAGCCGCGCCTCCATTCTGCTCCATACCCTTATTTACTTTGGCCTCATCACTATCTTCCTCCTTGCCATTGGCGTTCATGTCTATACCGGCTAAGTAATTTACTTCACTAGTTGTAACTTTTAACAACTCTTTTTAAATCTTTATTTATTTTTAATAAACGATCAGATTGTATCAATTGGATTTGGGTGGGTGAGTGGGGGGGGG